ATGGGTTATAATGCGAGGGGGAGCTCAGGAGTATCGGCAGAGGGAGAGTCTCAGGAGTTATCAGCAGATGGAGAGGCTCAGGAGTTATCAGGTAGATGGAGAGGCTCAGGAGTTATCAGGCAGATGGAGAGGCTCAGGAGTTATCAGGCAGATGGAGAGGCTCAGGAGTTATCAGGCAGATGGAGAGGCTCAGGAGTTATCAGGCAGATGGAGAGGCTCAGGAGTTATCAGGCAGATGGAGAGGCTCAGGAGTTATCATGCAGATGGAGAGGATCAGGAGTTATTATGCAGATGGAGAAGCTCAGGAGTTATCATGCAGATGGAGAGGCTCAGGAGTTATCATGCAGATGGAAAGGCTCAGGAGTTATCGTGCAGATGGAGAGGCTCAGGAGTTATCAGGCAGATGGAGAGGCTCGGGAGTTATCAGGCAGATATAGTATGGTGAAGTATGCTGTCTGGAGTGGGAATTTGTTATCATTCTGACTGCAGCATTTTGCTGGATTATTAATGGTCTGAGATGATTTATTGTTGTTGAGCCCCATGCACAAATTCCATAGGTGAGATAAGGGTAGATGAGTAAGTGATATAGGGCAAGCTGTGCTGGTTGTCGAACATAGTACCGTATCTTTGGTAATATGCCTATTGTCTTAGAGATTTTTGGAAAATTTGTTGTATATGACTGAAATTTGAGGCTACTGTCAGGGTGGATTCCTAAGAATTTTCCCTCTGTCAGTCTTGTGACAGGTGATCCGTTTATCAATATGTTAAGTGGAACATTTGTAGCTCTGTTTGTAAACAGAATGAAATAGGTTTTGTCAATATTGAGACTAATTCCTTTTGGTATTTATTAACAATGTACATAATAAAATGCTGCATAATGCTGACTGACGATTCCTTGATGTCCCCTAAGGATCGCAGGTTCTTGGAGGTTCGAAGGAAGCTGATGATACGACGAGCGGAAACTCTGCGCCAAGTTTGTACGAAGAGACCACAGCTGGCCAAGTCTTCTGTGTTACACGTAGTCTGGGACACCAAACACAATGTTATATGGTGCCCATTGCATAAGGTGAGTCAACTTATATATCTCCTTCCCTCTGAGATAATAAACTCCTAAGTCAGCTTCCTGCCTGACAGGGCCACGGCTACCTGGAAAAATCCTGGAACTATTCTACCTCCAGTATACCAGGAGAGTTTTCCAAGCATCAACACCTTCACAGTCCACTTCCAGACCAGGCCTCCTGGCTTGTAGCCTGATCAACCAGGGTGTTGGTGCCAGTCCTACTGTGGCTGATGGCCTATGACTTATCACAAATTATTTATAGCATTTAAACTGTGACTAATGGATTTAACAATAAATCAGTCACGATAACAATTAGTATTGAGAGAAGTAAGGTGCTGGGACAGGTCAAACTGGAAGCGATGGTAACGAATTAATAGCATATTTTTCTGTTAAATTCACTAATATCCAATGGTTCTTGTGTTTCGTAAATCATTCAACTCAAACACTGAGACCCCGCTCGGAGCTGAGACCCCGCTCAGCGCTGAGACCCCGCTAAGCGCTGAGACCCGCTCATCGCTGAGAACTCGCTCAACGCTGAGAATTCGCTCAGCGCTGAGCGGGGTCTCAGCGCTGAGCGAATTCTCGCTAATTGCTGAGAACTCGTTCAACGCTGAGAATTCGCTCAGCCGCTCAGCGCTGAGAACTCGCTCAGCGCTGAGACCTCGCTCGGCGCTCAGAATTCACTCCGAGCTGAGGGTGTATTCCTGGAGATGAAGCAGTGTAAAACAGTTCAATGCTGGATCATTATAACATTACGTACACGGACATGCTCGCCGGATAAAAAAAAATTAACCCGAAATATATGGTATATTACTGTATCTTATTTCTAGTAATTTCTTGGAGAAACAATAATTTACAAAAATAAGCCATCGTGGTTCCAGAAGCTTTTATCTTCGTTGATTTTTAATTGTTGTGATCGTGGATGTTGCCAAGTTGAATGAGTCGCTGCAGATCAACCCCAGAGTCATCAACTTCCAAACATGTGCAACTCTTGGGTATCTTTATTGAGGAAACGTTTCGCCACACAGTGGCTTCATCAGTCCATACAAAGGAGAATCTTGAAGAACAGGAGGAGAATGAGGTAATCAGTCCCTCAACCTTGAGTCGATGTGGTCAGTCCATCAATCTCCTTTGTATGGACTGATGAAGCCACTGTGTGGCGAAACGTTTCCTTAATAAAGATACCCAAGAGTTGCACATGTGTCTAATTTATCAACATGTCGGTTCCCTGAACCATTCATCTACAAACTTCCAAACACCCTACCACTTGTTTACCTGGAGTTTACCTGGAAAGAGTTTCGAGGGGGGTCAACGCTCCCACGACTCGGTCTCAGACCAGGCCTCATTGTGGATCAGGGTCTCATTAACCAGGCTGTTACTGCTGGCTACACGCAAACTGACGTACAAACCACAGTCCTGTTGGTCAGGTACTGACTTTAGGTGCCTGTCCAGTGCCTTCTTGAAGACAGCCAGGGGTCTATTGGTAATAGAGGCAGTTGAACAGTTTTGGGCCCTGACACTTATTGTGTGAGTGACTCTTAGCGCAGGTGAAGCCTCACATTGACTGCTGTGAGTGGCGCATAGCGCAGGTGAAGCCTCACATTGACTGCTGTGAGTGACTCTTAGCGCAGGTGAAGCCTCACATTGACTGCTGTGAGTGACTCTTAGCGCAGGTGAAGCCTCACATTGACTGCTGTGAGTGACTCTTAGCGCAGGTGAAGCCTCACATTGGCGTTCCTGTCTTAGGAATTTACTAACTTTCTTCTCTAAGATATTTGAGGACGTAGATCATGGTATTGAATATGATATTGTGTATATGGAAACTTAAGGCACACGAAATAGGAGGAGAAATTTTTTCCTGGGTAGAGGTATGGTTGACGAATAGGCAGCAGAGAGTTTGTATAAATGGGGAGAAATCAGAATGGGGGCACGTCACAAGCGGTGTTCCTCAGGGGTCAGTGTTGGGCCCGTTGTTGTTCACAATTTACATAAACGACATAGATGAGGGAATAAATAGCGACATAAGCAAATTTGCTGATGACACCAAAATAAGCCGTCCAATTCATTCTAATGAGGACACTAGAGCACTCCAGGATGATTTGAATAGACTGATGCAATGGTCGGAGAAGTGGCAGATGCAGTTTAATATTGACAAATGCAAAGTTCTAAATGTTGGACAGTTTAATAACCATGCCACATATAAACTAAATAATGTAGATCTTAATACTTCTGATTGCGGAAAGGATTTAGGAGTTCTGGTTAGCAGTAATCTAAAACCAAGACAACAGTGCATTAGTGTTCGCACTAAAGCTAAGAGAATTCTTGGCTTCATATCTAGAAGTATAAATAATAGAAGTCCTCAGGTTGTTCTTCAACTCTATATATCCTTGGTTAGGCCTCATTTAGACTATGCTGCTCAGTTCTGGTCACCGTATTACAGAATGGATATAAATGCTCTGGAAAACGTACAGAGGAGTATGACAAAGATGATCCCATGTATCAGAAACCTTCCCTACGAGGATAGACTGAGGCCCTGAATCTGCACTCTCTCGAAAGGCGTAGAATTAGGGGGGATATGATCGAGGTGTATAAATGGAAAACAGGAATTAATGAAGGGGATGTAAATAGTGTGCTGAAAATATCTAGCCTAGACAGGACTCGCAGCAATGGATTTAAGATGGAAAAATTCAGAATCAGGAGGGATATAGGAAAGCACTGGTTTGGTAATAGAGTTGTGGCTGAGTGGAACAAACTCCCGAGTACAGTCATAGAAGCTAAAACGTTGTGTAGTTTTAAAAATAGGTTAGATAAATACATGAGTGGGTGTGGGTGGGTGTGAGTTGGACCTGACTAGCTTGTGCTACTAGGTCAGATGATGTGCTCCTTCCTTAAGTGAATGTAACTGACCTGACTAGGTTAAGGCATTGGCTTAAGCCGGTGAGAGAGCTGGACCTGCCTGGCATGGGCCAGTAGGCCTGCTGCAGTGTTCTCGTGGCTGCCACTTACACCTTGCTGCTCTACAATGTTATAATTAATGAGCGTTATTCAGGGTAGCATTATGCTGAGTCTGAGTTATTCAGGGTAGCATTATGCTGAGTCTGAGTTATTCAGGGTAGCATTATGCTGAGTCTGAGTTATTCAGGGTAGCATTATGCTGAGTCTGAGTTATTCAGGTAGCTTTAGCTGATCTATTATCATAGATTAGCTGAGTCGATTTTATTCGGGGTAGCTTATGTGATTAAAGTTATTCAAGGTGCATTAGCTGAGTCTAGTTATTCAGGGTAGCAATGTAGCAGTTATTAAAGGGTGCTTTATGCTGGTCTGAGTTATTCGGGGGTAGCTTTAAATCTGGTCGAGTTATTCGGGTAAATTACTGAGTCTGAGTTAAAAGGTAGCCAATTTGGCTATTCTGAGTTTTTCAGGTAGCATTATGCTGATCGAGTTATTCAAGTTGCATTAGCGGAGTCTGAGTTATTCAGGGTGCATTATGCGGGGGAACTGGTTTTTTCGGGTTAATTATGCGATCAAGTTATTCAAGTAGATTTGCTTCGGTTTATTAGGGTACTTTAATGTGAGTGAGTTTTTCAAGTAGTTTATGCGAGGCTGATTATTAGGGTACTTATCTGAGTTGAGTTTATCGGGGAGCATTATGTGAGCTGAGTTATTCGGGGTACATTAGCTGAGTCTGATTTATTCAGGGAAGCATTATCGGTTGAGATTCAGGTAGCTTTTGGACAGGGGGGTGCAAATTTTTATGGTTTATTCAGGGTAGCTTTTGCTGAGGGGGGGGGGGAGACAACAACTTCAGAAAGGTAGCATTTGCAGTCTGGTAATTCGGGGTGCATTATGCTGAGTCTGAGTTTTTGGGGTACATTATGCTGAGTCGAGTTTTTAAAGAAGCTTATGCAGTTGAGTTATTAAGGGTAGCATTATGTGAGCCCTGAGTTTTTAAAAAGGGTGCATTATGCTGAGTCTGAGTTATTCAGGGTAGCATTATGCTGAGTCTGAGTTATTCAGGGTAGCATTATGCTGAGTCTGAGTTATTCAAGGTAGCATTATGCTGAGTCTGAGTTATTCAGGGTAGCATTATGCTGATGAGTTTTCAGAGATTAAATGCTGAGTCGGAAACAGGGTAGCTTTTATGCTGAGTCTGAGTTTTCCAGGGTACTTATGCAGTCTGAGTTTTTTTAAAGGGGTAGCATTATGTGATTAGTTATTCAGGTAGTTTAAACTGATCTGATAATTCGGGGTAGCATTATCGAGTCTGAGTTATTGGGGGTGATTATTAGTCTGATTATTCAGGGTAGCATTATGCTGATTTCGAGTTAATCGGGTAGCATTATGCTGAGTCTGATATTCGGGGTACATTTGCTGATTTGGGAAAGTTAAAAATTTTTATTTTTTTAAAAATCAGGGGTTTTAAAGGGCATTATCTGATCTGAGTTTTAAAGGTAGCAAATCTGGCTGAGTATTAAAGGGTGCATTATGTGATCTGAGTTTTCAAGGAGATTATTTTAGTCTGATTATTCAGGAGCATTATGCTAGTCTGTTATTCAGGGTATTATGCTGGTCTGATATTCAAGGTAGCATTATGCTGACCCGAGTTTATTAAAAGGACATTATTTGAGTCTGAGTTTTTAAAGGGAGCTTTTCTGAGTTAATTATTCAAGGGTAGCTTATGCTAGTCTGGTTTTTCCCGGGTAGCATTTGGGGGTCTGATTATTCAAGGTAGCTTTGCTGAGTCTGAGTTATTAAAGGTAGCTTATGCTGAGCTATTTATTCAAGTAGCATTGCGACTGATTATTCAGGGTTTTAGCATTTTTCAAGAAATTTCGGGTTGAGTTTTTCAAGGTAGCATTTGCTGTCTGAGTTATTAAGGGTAGCATTATGCTGATCTGATTATTAAGTAGCTATGCTATTGAGTTATTCAAGTAGATTATGCTAGTCTAGTTATTAAAATAGCTTAAAATGCTGGTCGGGTTATTAAAGGTACATTATGCTGAGTCTGAGTTATTAAAGGTAGCATTATGCGAGTCTGATTATTCAAGTACCATTATGCTGATCTGAGTTATTAGGTACATTATCTGAGTCTGATTTATTCAAGGTAGCATTATCTGAGTCTGGTTTTTTTGGGGTGCTAAGGATTGTTTTAAAAATCGATTTATTTTAAAAGGGTAGCATTAAGCTGAGTCTGATTATTAAAAGTAGCTTATTGATTCTGAGTTTTTCAGGGTAGCATTATGTGATTTGATTATTAAATTAGCATTATGGAGTCAGTTTTTAAAAGTAGCATTAGCTGAGTCTGAGTTTTTAGGGTAGCATTAGCTGATCGGTTATTCAAGGAGATTATGCTAGTCGAGATTCAGGAGCATTATGTGGTCGATTATTAAAGGTAGCAATAGCTGAGTTTTGGAATTTATTAAAGGTAGCTTAGTGATCTAGTTATTCAAGGTAGCATTATGCTGGTCGAGTTATTCGGGTTGCTTTATGCTGAGTCGGGGTTTTTTAAAAGGGTACATTAGCTGAGTTGGTTTTCCCAGGTAGCATTATGTGAGTCTGAGTTTTTTAAAATAATTTATGCTGATCGAGTTTTAAAGGGAGCATTATGCTTCCTGGTTTTTCGGGGTGCTTTATGTGAGTTGAGTTATTCAGGGTAGCATTATGTGATTAGTTTTTCAGGTTTTAGCTTATGCTAGTCTGATTTATTCAGGGTG